AAGTATATAACTGTCTGTAAAAGTATATAACAGTCTGTAAGAGTATATAACAGTCTGTGAGCGTATAACAGACTGTAAAAGTATATAACAGTCTGTAAAAGTATATAACAGTCTGTAAAAGTATATAACAGACTGTAAAAGTATATAACAGTCTGTAAAAGTATATAACAGTCTGTAAAAGTATATAACAGTCTGTAAAAGTATATAACAGTCTGTAAAAGTATGTAACAGTCTGTAAAAGTATATAACAGTCTGTAAAAGACTGTAAAAGTATATAAAAGACTGTAAAAGTATATAACAGACTGTAAAAGTATATAACAGACTGTAAAAGTATATAACAGACTGTAAAAGTATATAACAGGCTGTAAAAGTATATAACAGGCTGTAAAAGACTGTAAAAGTATATAACAGACTGTAAAAGTATATAACAGACTGTAAAAGACTGTAAAAGTATATAACAGACTGTAAAAGTATATAACAGACTGTAAAAGTATATAACAGACTGTAAAAGTATATAACAGACTGTAAAAGTATATAACAGGCTGTAAAAGTATATAACAGGCTGTAAAAGTATATAACAGCCTGTAAAAATATATAACAGACTGTAAAAGTATATAACAGACTGTAAAAGTATATAACAGACTGTAAAAGTATATAACAGGCTGTGAACGTATATAACAGACTGTGAACGTATATAACAGACTGTAAAAATATATAACAGACTGTAAAAGTATATAACAGACTGTAAAAGTATATAACAGACTGTAAAAGTATATAACAGACTGTAAAAGTATATAACAGACTGTAAAAGTATATAACAGGCTGTAAAAGTATATAACAGGCTGTAAAAGTATATAACAGACTGTAAAAATATATAACAGACTGTAAAAGTATATAACAGACTGTAAAAGTATATAACAGGCTGTGAACGTATATAACAGACTGTAAAAATATATAACAGACTGTAAAAGTATATAACAGACTGTAAAAGTATATAACAGCCTGTAAAAGTATATAACAGGCTGTAAAAGTATATAAAAGACTGTAAAAGTATATAACAGACTGTAAAAGTATATAACAGACTGTAAAAGTATATAACAGACTGTAAAAATATATAACAGACTGTAAAAGTATATAACAGACTGTAAAAGTATATAACAGGCTGTAAAAGTATATAACAGACTGTAAAAGTATATAACAGGCTGTAAAAATATATAACAGACTGTAAAAGTATATAACAGACTGTAAAAGTATATAACAGACTGTAAAAGTATATAACAGGCTGTGAACGTATATAACAGACTGTAAAAGTATATAACAGCCTGTAAAAGTATATAACAGACTGTAAAAGTATATAACAGGCTGTGAACGTATATAACAGACTGTAAAAGTATATAACAGACTGTAAAAGTATATAACAGCCTGTAAAAGTATATAACAGACTGTAAAAGTATATAACAGACTGTAAAAGTATATAACAGGCTGTAAAAATATATAACAGACTGTAAAAGTATATAACAGACTGTAAAAGTATATAACAGACTGTAAAAATATATAACAGACTGTAAAAGTATATAACAGACTGTAAAAGACTGTAAAAGTATATAAAAGACTGTAAAAGTATATAACAGACTGTAAAAGTATATAACAGACTGTAAAAGACTGTAAAAGTATATAACAGACTGTAAAAGTATATAAAAGACTGTAAAAGTATATAACAGACTGTAAAAGTATATAACAGACTGTAAAAGTATATAACAGACTGTAAAAGTATATAACAGACTGTAAAAGTATATAACAGACTGTAAAAGTATATAACAGGCTGTGAACGTATATAACGGGCTGTGTGTGGTTAAAATCTCTCGACAGTTGGAATTCGAAAAAAGAAAAACCGTTGTCGCTTTTCTCATAAAAATCATTCATGTACCATGCACACTGTAAATGAAGAGTAGAAATGGAATTGAAATTTTAATTCAGATAGAATGGGAAGTAATTCCGATAAAATCTCCGACCACACTTGATTAATGTGATATTTGTTATCTTTAATATCAGTGTACATAATGGGAGATAATCATTAGAATAACTGGCTCCACTAATTCAAATAGGG